TGATTCATTTTGTTCTGCTTAAATTTTTTCAGGGGTGTGACTCAATGAGAAATTTTGTTAAAACTACAGTGCGAATAAACTTGAATAACATGTACGCAGCGATGTTGAATATTGATGTGATGTTCATTGAATGGCAATTAATCAACCTGCCTACCAACGAAGTATTTCCGCGGCAGTGTTGACTTTTGCTGTCTGTGTTGCAGCATTTTATCTTTTTGCATCACGAACTTTATCAATAATTGGATGACAAGTTTTTTCACTGGGATTAAAAGTACTTGCCTGATCTTTACTTCCGAACCTGTTAATAAGTGTATTAAGTGATGTTGATAAGTGTATTAATATTTAAGTATGACATTAGTGTGAAGTTTAGAGATATGTCAAAGCAGTGGATAGATACAAACGTCCCCTCATCCTGGCTTGTTAATTAAGTCCAAGCAAAGCATGAAAAATGAACAACACTTTCTAGAATTATGTGCTCCTGTGCGAGATGATCAATAAACTCATTGTAAAGATGAATTGTTATAAAGACCCGCTATTGTTCAGGTCCAGTTTTTTCCTCCTGTTGCTTTTGCTGCAAATAAATATAATCTAACGGAGGCTCAGACGTCATCTGATGGCCGGGTCGTCGCGGCTTGGCTGATGGTTCTCGAGAAAGATTCTTGCTGTAATGGAGAGCTTCTCTCGAATTTCATTTTCTACTTATTCTATTCAACATCGCTGACTGTTGATTATCAGGATAGCGATGACCGATTAAATTTTTTTACTTTATACGATGATGTCTGTTTTACGTTTCACGAAAATAACGACTATTATCAATTCTACTCTGTTGCTATAGAATAACATTTAGTATTACCAAATTCCCCGTTGGGAATTATAAAGGACCTGTGTTGGATATAAAAATGTTCTTGGTAATTAGTTTTTGTTATTTTCGTAGTGCTATGAATAATAAACTGTATTTTTAATGTTACTCATTATCAGCAACGGTACAAACCGTCGGATGACCTTATAAGATGAGTGGCACTACCATTGACGTGGCCATTACGGCTGAAATAAAGTGTGTGAAGCAGCGTGTTATTATTTCCTCATTACCCACTTGAGCTTAAATTATTCCTCATAATTCAGATGAGATCCATGATTAAATCAAAATAAGTTTTTAGTCCATTGATATTACTGTTGAAGTAGTTAAGCATTATTATCAAAATCTGACTGTTTGATTACTAAAATGGATTCAAGTATTAGTACGGTAGTTTTTTTTCTTTTCATTTCATAAACCAATAACATTTTAAATTTTATTAATTTTTCCCCCTTTCAATATTAAATAAAGTTAAATTAATTAATTTTGTGTTACTGTTATCTAAGTTAAATTATATGCAATAGCTCTCCCCTAATAACAACTTGAGTTGTACAAATATTTTTTCATTTTTCAAGCAGGTTCCTTCAATAGGTATTGCCAGCCTCCCTAGTTTGGTTTTAAGTTCGCTAACCAGGACATCATACTTTAACATAGGCCAAATAAAGGTGAGATTTGCTAAGATCAGCTAGATATTGCTTACAAAATAACTAAGGAGGAAAAGTAAACATGCCGGTTTTGAATAAAATTAGCAAGAGAATGGATGAGCACTCCCAAGATTATTGTTGCGCCTTAGTACACATATTAGTCATAACAATCGCCGACCGACTGGTACCATCAAACATGTTAATCTTATTTCGGTGTTGTATCCTGATGTGCTTGGTATTGAACGGTGAGGCACTTGCACGGGCGGAACTTGATACATTTGAAATCAAACAATATTTTAGGTCATATGAATGATCAGAGATCAATCAATGTTTTATTTTGAAATTTAATATCTGTAAAGAAAAATTGAGCTGACCATGGCACAGAAAATGTCAAAGAAAAAATTAATTGGGCTCATGTTATAACGGAAGAACGTAAATGAAGGAATACGACTCATCGAAGATTGAATTATTCAATTACTAAAATACACTATTTTATCCGTGCCAACAAGACTGTCACATGAAACGAGCGACTAAGTTCTAAGAATTCCAGACCCATCGTTCCCTGGAAAATCTTTCACTCGACGGAAATCTAGATCGCAGAAATCTTTCACTTAACCAAGGAAATCTCGTTCCTGGAAATCTGCTATACAACAAGGGAATCTCTTCTGAATATCTCTCACTCAACGAGGAAGATCTCGATGTTGGAAATCTTTCAATCGATGAGGGAAATCTCACGCTTGAAAATCTCTTCTTGGGAAAACCCTCACTGATCGACGAGTATCTCACTATTGATCGCTCCAAATCGCCCACTCAATGTTGGATATCTCGCTCTTAGAAATCGCTCACTCGCCGTCTGATATCTCATCCATGAAAATTTTTCACTCACCTCCGGAAATCTCACTTTCGGAAATCTCTCACTCACCGTCGTATAACTCACTTTTGGGAATATCTCACAAACCGTCAGATATATTGCTCCTGGAAATCTCTACTATAGAAATCTCTCACTCACCGTCGGATCTCTCACTTATGAAAATCGCTCAAACACCGTCGGATATCGCACTCTCAAAATCTCTCACTCACCGTCGGATATCGCACTCCCGGAAATCTCCCCCTCACCTCGGGATATCGCACTCTCGGAAATCTCTCACTCACCGTCGGATATCGCACTCTCGGAAATCTCTCACTCACCGTCGGATATCGCACTCCCGGAAATCTCTCCCTCACCTAGGGATATCGCACTCTCGGAAATCTCTCACTCACCGTCGGATATCGCACTCTCGGAAATCTCTCAGTCACCGTCGGATATCGCACTCTCGGAAATCTCTCCCTCACCTAGGGATATCTCGCCGCATTTGCAGGGCGCAAAACAGACGCAGCAGAGGCGGGAACGCCGGCATTGGTGGGCCGGAGCCTCCAACAAAGCGCTGCTGCTGAGTTCTTTGTCAACGGTCAAAGCTGAGGACAAGTGCGAGTGAAGCGAAATTCCGAGGAGGCGACTGATCCTGCGGGAAACAACAATCTGTCTAAAATGCAAGACAGATATGCAAAGAAAGACATGTTTATAATGCAATGCATTCACTGCAAGAAATGCAAGGCAGACAAAGAAAATGCAGTGAAAAACTGGTCCAATGCAAGAAATTTGCGGCAGACATTTTTGTGCAGCTTAAAATTTTTAAAAACTGCAATGTTAGGCAATATTACGTTCTTTGAATTTGAATTAAATTACGTAAATTTGAAGCAAGCTTCAACAATACGCGATTTACCCGCAGCAAATACACTTATTAAGCTTTTTATTCAATGGCTGTTTTTCATTATTAAAGCATCCACAAAAAATCACAATTGAAGAGAATTAATTTAAGCGGAAAGCAAAGCTCTAACATTGCACTGATCTACTCCATCATTCCATTCCCCAATGCAATGGCTTGTTTCCGCGATCCATGGCACTTGAGGAACGCGTTCATATCCACAAATCTCGATCGTAATCGCTATCATCGGCGCGCGGATAACGTCCTCATGGAAGAGCTTTGCCGGCATTAGCCTGTATTTGGCAATCTTAGATCGAGTATCTGCGGCCTACGGTCGGCAGTGGCAAGCCATGAAAAATATGAATTGTGAATTGTCGTTGCAATGAATAGAAACTTTAAGGATTAGTTTGCAAATAAATATTTTTTAATAGCCGTAAAGGAACTCATGAATTTTTCACTTAAAGTTTAATTTTCATGCCATGAGCCAATTATGAAAATTTTCATTGAAAGGTATTTTTGGGATTGAACATGGATTTTGTAATTCAATTGAACCTATTTATTGAATTTTGGTATCACACGTGGGAGTTCTGCCTGTCCTGGCATTCTCAGAACTGGGGGGGGGGGAATGCATGCAAGTGTCACTCTTCAGATTCAGGGAAGTCAGATATGGAACAATTTTCGGGTCTATTATATCGGGGGCAATTTTTGGGTCTTTTATACTGCCATTTTTAGAGCAGGTTATGGAACCATAACTTAGGACAGTTTCTTGGGACAAATTTTCATAAATTTCAATAATTTCTTTAACTTTTAGCAAGCTCTGGTACCTAATATGAGAAAATTTTATAGCATTTCGGAGAAAGTTTAGGATGCATTCGTGAGATAAATATCGAGACCACTTCCAGGAGTCCAGTTTAATACAATTTTTGAGGCCTAGTAAAATAGTATAATAGAATAATAGTATAACAGTAATAGTATACACTGTAGCGGATTGGGAATTATTTGCTTTAGCGGTTTGGGACTTACTTTAAGAACCTGCAATAGAAACACTTCTATAATCAATGCTGGAAATGTTTTTAATCTTATTTGGGATCAATATTATTGTACTGTAAGCAGCTTCAATTGAACACTCTGAACTCCTCTCATCGACAGCCGCTCACATGTTAACTCTAAGTTCTTTTTATCTAATTTAAGCTACTTTTAGTTAGGAATAATTAGTTTAGTCAGTTTTTTAGTTTATAAGTCTGAGTTATTATAATATAATATATATAATATAGTATATATAATATATATTATATAATAATATAATAATATATATTATTATATATAATAATATATAATAATATATATTATATAATAGATAATATATATAATATATAATATAATAACTCAGAGTTATTATTATCTAATTTAACTACTTTGAGCTCTCCATACGATGTAGGCATGTACTTTATATAATTCAACACAATATAACATAACATAGCATAACAAAACATAACACAACGAAAAATAATACAACATAACATAACATAACTTAACGGAACAAAACATAACATAATATTACATAACATATCTTAACATCACATAGCATAACATTAATTAACATAAAATAACATAACATGTCTACTATTTAGTCACTTTATCACCTACAACTTTATCTCATCACCTCTAAGTTCACAAAAATTATTGACTCTTTGATGACCTTATTACCTCTAACTTTTCATTACTAATATAGTTTTAGTTCACCTTATCGCCCCATGCAGGTCAGAACTATTGCAGAACCTCGCCTCATGCAGGTCAGAACTATTGCAGAACCTCGCCCCATGCAGGTCAGAACTGTTGCAGACAATTTCAAGATCAGCTACATACCAGACAGATCAAATTTGTCTGTACGACCCCTCAAGAGCTCTTCGTAAAAATTAGGTAATTTAAAGCCCTAATTAAATCACCTTGTTTGGTAAGAATCATTTAGGACTTAGGCCTAGTCATTGCAGACTAGGCTAGGGCTAGCTTAATGCTTAATACGTCATTTTGTTTGCTATCACAAAATTTTAAACTGAAACCGACCAAAAATGCTCTCAATACATTTATAAGCTCAACAACATTATCTTAACTCTTCAATAGACTTCACAAGCAAGATACTGGGAAGAGCGCAGGTCATAACAGAAGTCTTAATTGAGTCCTGGACGGTTTAGAGAATCTCTGAGCGCCCGATGCTCAATTGTTTGCTCTGCGCACGCCAGTCACGAGCGCGTAACTCCTGAACTCCGCGCTGAGTAACTCACTTCAATTAAGCCTGCCGATACAAGCTCGTGATTGTTCCTCTTAGAGCTCACTACTATTTCTTTGGTTGAGGAGAATTCTTCATTACTGTATTCTTATACAAGCAGCGCTATTGCTCCTCTTAGAGTTCACCATTTATTGTTTAGTTGAGGAGCATTCATTATTTTTATATTCCGATACAAGCACGTTATTTCACCTCTCGGATTTCACATTCATTCATTGGAATTGGGGAGCATTTAATACAATTCTTTATGGCAGAGAGTGAAGTTTCGATGGATTGTTTTTAATCCACGGTTTTACCACTAAGGATTTACATTATGCATATTTGCCATGTATATTTATTAAAGTTGTATTCATTACACTGATCACCGGGGAATATGGTTGTGGGATTATTTATTGTGGATCGATAAGATTTTTTCAACTGATTTCAAAACAGGCTTTGTTTTTTTCTCTAGCACGATTTTTTGGATTATTTGCATTTTTCGGATAATTATTGTAATAATTATATATGTTTGTATGCATAATTGAATGTTTAATAGAAGCGATCCCACGCATAAATTTATTTTACTTCGAATCAAATATCTGCAATACCGGTAGCTATATTAGGACTTAATGCACAAATAAACGTAATGCACTAATAATTAATATTAATATATTATCACTATACAAATATAATTATTATATACATATCTTACGTAAAAATGCCAATATTTCAAAAACTAGACGTGTCAGAGAAAAAGCAAAGTCATAAATCAGCAGCGAAAATGCTTTCCAATCCACACAGAATTACCTCGGAACCATTACCTATATCGATGATTATTCTTGAAGACAGTGAAGTGTTAAGGTAATCATATTTATCCACTGTTTTCCTTATAAGTAGTTGCAGAGAAGAGATCCCTTATCTGTATTTATCATTCAAATAAAAGGCAGTGAGCGTTTGATGGATAATTATTAGAATCATTTAAAAAACAATAGAGTAGTAAATATTCGTAATTGGTATTCATACTTCATTATTATTCTATACATTATAGACGATAGTGCGGCTTTATTGGATTGATATATGTCGATACTTTTACATGATAAAGATTTATTATCCGTATTCATTATTAAAGTCTCATTAATTAGTTAGGAAATATGAAACTCGTAATGATTGACAATTATTTTATGACTGATCCGATATCATTGAAAAAGTGTTATGCAATTCAGTTTCAATTTTTTACTTTTATTTCAAAGCCAATATGAGAAGACGCATGAAACTCGTTCTTTACTTCTCCCGCGACCGTGGATTCCACGCAGAAGATTATGTATTAATATTCAACATTGTAGCACCTGAATAAAAACCAACTACTATCAGTCTTTATGAATTCTAACCCACGGTTCAGAGCATCAAAGCTGTATATTTTTCTTCTGCGCTTCCCAAAGGCACTAGAAGTCATCGCGTGATGAGAATGCTGAATCCACCTTTGCCAAACGAACTATTTTCGAAGAACTGCAATATGACCAGAGCTGGGCAGCGCTACTTTGAAATGTAGCGCCGCTACCGCTACATGCTCTAAATGTAGCGGGCGCTACCGCTAACGCTACACCAACTAGATTGTAGCGAGCGCTACCGCTACCGCTACAGTAAAATGTAGCGCCGCTACATTAGCCGCTCCAATGGCCAAAATTATTGGAAATCGCTAAATATTTATTGTTCTGCTATTGGGATTTACTCATAAACATTTAATGATAATAAAACATTTTCAAAACATATCAATGAAACTTTATTGCAATTAACTTAACCGAAATAGTACGGGTTAGATATAGTAAATAAAAGTTAGTTATTCTTATGTTTTACCTTCCCTACATGGATGTCTACTTTAATCTACCAATCTCAAAAATTATCCATGTATACATATAAAAAATCAGTCTTTTATTTGTATATATATGTGGATAATTTTTGAGATTGGTAGATTAAAGTAGACATCCATGTAGGGAAGGTGAAACACAAAAATAACTGTGTAGAAATTACTGTAAGCAAATTCAAGTTAGGTGGCTGATGTCCGTGATGTGGTCGTGGACATGTGGTGGCAGCTGGCACGGAACAAGAACAAGTGGTAACTGGTAACAACTTAACAAGTAACAACTATTATGTTGACACTAGTAACAGGATGAGGTTGACAACCTTACACCGAAATCTTTCGTACAGTTTTATTTTGTAATTTATATTATTTATGTATCATGCTGGTTGTTAAATAATATTTAATACTATTAAGTAAAATCTAAAGGCTTTATCTATAAATGTAGCGGTAGCGCTGTAGCGGAAAACCTCGTATCGCTACTTAAATATGTAGCGGGCGCTATCGCTACCGCTACAATTGATTAAATGTAGCGCCGCCACATGTATCGTGCTACTGCCCACCTCTGAATATGACCTAGCTCTAAAAATAGTGTCTTCATCTGCCTTCCAGCTCTGTTGCAAGTTCTTGAGTTAATTCTTTTCCGCAGCTCATGAGACAGCGAGGAAAAATTAACCATTTGCCACGCACTTTAGTCAAGAGAGCGCTACTTTGGACCCGTGGAGTTCCTCAGGTTGCGAAGAAAACCTGAAATCGTTTTCTTTTTTGGCAACGTTTTCTGTTCTTCAGGCCAAACTCTCGCATGTCACTGACGAATGGCGTTAGCCGGCCCGAGATATGCATTTGCATACACAACCGACCCATAGAGCTTTAGGCCTCTTTCTCAGTCCTGTTTTACAAAGTGGAGAATTTTTACGGTGGGATCACTTCCATTTACAACTTTAAATGCTCAGTTAAAAGCGTGGAGACCATCCAGAAGTGAGATACTTTGCAACAAAGTTGAATTGAAACGATATTTTTTGCACGGAGATGAGCGCATGGCATGTCCGAGGAAAAATGCAGGCTTAAAAACATTTGACATCGACACTTGAAACTTTGCTCCCGTTTTAATTTGAGTCCATTATTTTTCCATGAATATATTTCCCACTGTCAACAAATGCCGTATAAACAACCGCCGCTGATATTTCAGAGGAGTTTAAATTACTCAATTACTATTAACAAAAATTTATTTTGCATGGCGTGCAGAGAGTGCGATTTACTTTTTCAAAATTAATGTCCTGCTATGAAAAATTTTTACTCAAATAAATCTATCTCAAAAAGGTGCCGTCGAACTATTACACTATTGACCTAACCTTTCATAATCATTTATAATTTACCTTGCTAATTTCCCGTCGCCTTGTTTTTTTTCTGGCTTGAATATTTTCTTTCCCGTCACTTGCCGCTACACATAGTGCTATCCTCGCTGCCCCCAAATATTAATTGGGTAACACCAACACATCACTTATTTTTCAAACGATCATACTCAACTTAATATATTTTCATTGCACTAAACATCTCTGACGGCATATGCATTCCATTAGTAATCGAACTTTTGAATTTAAATGCATGTGCTTAACATTGAAAACATACAACTCAAATTTTTTGACACATCCGACACACAACTTATATTTTTTTCAAACGCCCATAAGTTGAAAAAAGCTCAAGGGACTGTTTTCAAAGCTGCATTGTAGATGCAAGAGTTCAAGTCAATGAAGCTACACGGGCAGATCTCACCATTATAGGCGGCCAGGAATGACAGCTTCGTTGTCTTGTGATCTCCGACATGTCATCAAATTATCGAAAACGAGCCGTTATCGATACTTGGCTGTCCTCCAGACTTCTTTTCCCGATAAAGCGCTTGTTCTCTCGAGTCAGGGTAATGGCTTTATTGATGAGGAGGTTCTCTATAATGACTAAATTATTTCACCGTTATTTTCATTTCCTTGTTTTGTCTTGAATACCATACCATGTCCGACAACACTTGATGATGGTTAATTGAGTAATTGGACTTTTTTTCCATTTTAGATTTTATGTTAATAAATTAACAGGTTTTAACGTGGTCGTAACGAGAACTGGTTTTGAATTTCAACACCTTCGTCTAAATTTCGGTAACATTTAAAAATTATTTGGTTGAAAGTTGCTTAAAAAATCAGGCGCTGATTCCACTTAGGTTTAGTCGATTTGAGAGTCGGTTTTAAACTCCGTTATTTTTTCCGTTAATTTTTAAATAAGCGCCGAAAAACTAATTTTACATACCACTTGTAATTCTACAAAAGCGAGTTAGCCTGATAGTGCTACAATTTAATTATTTTATCATTTTTGCCGTCATTAAGAAGCAGATGGACCATGACACATCGTTTCAGTAGGTAAGAAACAAGAGATCAAATATTTCTTTCGCTTCAACTTTTAAAATGCATTCTCTCCTTTAAATTACGCAATACCAGATGATAATTTATTGCAATAGAACTCTTCTCAACCCTACGAAATGTTCGCTTTTTGGTTGTTGAAGTCAAATTGTTCTTATGTAATTATCCAAATGTTCTCCATTGGTATTCTCCAGATGTTCCACGATGTTATTCTCCAGATGTTCTTTGATGATATTCTGATGATATTCCCCAGATGATCTCTGATGATATTCCCCAGATGTTCTCTGATGATATTCCCCAGATGTTCTCCGATGATATTCCCTTTCTGCAGGTGTTCCCGATCCCCGAGTCGGTGTTCACGGTGGACAAGAGTCGGTCCGGCAAAGGGCGCGTGGTGGTCAAGGCTGTGCAGCTCGGCGCCGGCGACGCGCCGCTCAGATGCGAGATTTCCGGCGAAGCTCCGTACTTCCGGACGGACGAGCGCTGGGCCAAGATGGAGGTCGCGGGTGAGCATTTTGGTGATATTTAAGTAATTTATATAATATTATTTCAGAAACTTGTGGATAAATGAGGACGAATCAGGTTTAATGTATTAATTTCGCTTTTTTTCATTTTGAGGCGTTTCAGGTGACGCAGAATATATTTGAATCCAGTTTCTTAACTAAATGGATTATAGTTTCCGTTTTTAGATGAACTGTGTAATTTCACGAAAGGATTCAACATACATTTCATGGGGGCAATCTAGATGGTAGAGAGTGTTTTTTGAATTGCATGATTACATTTCGTACCAAGCACGAACGATAAAACAATTCTTCACATTTCCCTGACAGGAATATATGATATTGATGTTACCGTTCCGTCAATGTCTCCATCTGTTTTTATATTTGGCCAATTTAACAATGAACATAAACCAATTCCTCAGAAAATAAATCTCGTCAATTTTAATTATTACTTACACTGATTAAGTCTTCCGAATTATGTGCAGTGAACATATATTAAATATTGTACATTATTCAATGCATTCTAAAAATTAAAAGACATTGCCCCGCATGAAACGTCAATTTTTTCCCCATGATCACTACCAATAAATAATAACATAATTCTAAATTTTTCATCTATAGTTTTATTGCAGAACTTAGCATTGATATTATGTAATATTTTTCTTTTTTGCTTGCATCGATTCATGCAATTTTCCGTTGCGAACATTTGCAACTGAGTCCGTTTTTGTGCAGCTTCCATCAGCTCAGCTGCCACGCTATCAATTTCTTGCTCAGCAACGACAGCTCGACGCGAATTTATTTTTTTTATTTTATTTTTCTCCTTCCGGCGATGTTGCTGGCAGACGCGAGGCTTTTTGCGAGACGACTTACGACATCTGAACACCTCTGGTTGCTCCTGACGATCGAAAAACATCGACTTACGACATCTGACAACCTTTGATTGCTCCCGATTCTCAAAAAAATATAACTCGGTACGCACTGCAGTGAGTGACAGAGAGCTCATTTTCTCGTCGACGAAAATGAGAAGTCACGGACGGGCAGACAGAGGGACAGGAAGACGGACAGACGGACGGACGGACATGACGAGCACAATAGTGCATTTTTTCAGAAATTAGAAAATGCGCAAAAACATCGACTTACTACCACATGTAACATTTGAGATTGCTCCTGATGCTCAGAAAACATCGACCTGCGACATCTTGTAACCTTTGATTGCTTCCAATGCTCTTAAAACATTGACTTACGACATATTGCAATCTTTGATTGTTCCTAATGCTCAGAAAACATCGTTTCATGACTTGTTGTAAAATTTCATTGCTCATGAAGCACAAAAAATTATTATTTATGACAAATTACAATCTTATGTCGCTTACATTGACCTACGACTCTCTGAAATATTAAATGCAATACATATAATATTAATACATAAAATATTAAAAACATCTTTTCGCGTAGCATTATTTCTCTTGATGCTCGAAAAACATTTGACTTACAACGCCACGTAATCTTTTATTGCTTTAGATGCTTGCAATGCTTTTAGTTGAGTGTAATGTCTGGTACCCTAAACTCATGTTATTAATGACTTGGTTGGGGTCTATTAATTACATAAGAGAATACAGCATCGCGCTCCGTCATAATTTATAATTATTCATGTTCTTTTATTATATATGATGCTCAAATCACGTGTGCTAAAAGAAGCTTGCAATCTTCGATGTTCCTTACTCCAAAGAAAATTCAGATAACGATACCCCGCTACCTCTGATTCCCGATAAATAAAAAAAAAATTGAATAGTATTCTTCACTTATTAATAGTTATTCTTCCCATATTTGTTCATCCATCACCACAGCTAGTCAATTATTACTATACTTATTCATTTGGAAATATACTTACTTTTGAAAGAGACAGTCCATTACCGTGTAATTCGTGATTGAAATCTACATTGCACACGGCAGGGATTTTTAGTTAAGTTTCCGAATCGGTCAGAAGCAGCGGGTACACCAAATTCTCCGACATGCACAGCGTTGAGAGAGTTGAGAGATGCGGTGGGAGAATCGCGGAGATTTATAGCGGAGAGAAGATTAAGAAGTCGAGAGATACGGTTTGATATATTACGAAGACTGAGTACCGGTAGGGCGACTGGTACAGCAGAAGCGCAGTTTGACGACAAAGCGTCTGACATGTTAAATGATCTGCCGGGAATGTAGAAATCTACTCCAATTAGAGCCTTATGCTCAAGAGGTGTAGGAGCAGAGTTACCATATATGTACACAGAATATTGAAGTATCGTCAGCGGCTGCATTATACGCAATTTTTAATATATTGATGCATAATATGATATTTGTCATGCCCGTAATATTCTTTGTGTTTAGAGACGTTTTATTATGACCTCTGTTGATAAAATTCCGGCGGAGATTGTCGGTAAGAAATGTAAATAGACCATGAACATGTATTCCATATTTTCGTTGATGTTCGACTGCTTGATGAAAATTTAATGTGGCTTATTGAACCTATTTTTCTATGTGTTCTGCATTGTATTGTTAGTACATTTGTAAAATGTTGTACTGGCTGTCGTTTGCTATGGAACCTTAGTCAGGAAAGTATAGTACGTATAGACTTAAAATTCTTTGATATATCCATGAGGTTCATACAATGAAGAGAAGAAGAGTAGCGTTTCTAATTCGAAGAAATTTAATTTTGTACTTCGTGACACGTACGCGAAACTATTTCAGTAACTAGAAGATAGAGCCTCATCATGGTGTATTTTATAGTACGTAATATAAAATTCGGAATATTGACATGCGCAAACGAACGTGACTAATGTAAAGGTAATTGATAGGTGTCCGTACATTTTTTTATATTGAATTAAACTCAACGCGTACCAAAAAGTATATAATGTGTATATTGTAGTTGTGATTATTAGGTTAGTAATTAGTTACGTTGAGTAAATGTACAAGTTTTCATATCGCAGAGGTAATCGTATTCCGCGTAATTAGGTAATCGTATTCCACGCTATTAGGTAATCGTATTCCGCGTAATTAGGTAATCGTATTCCGCGTAATTAGGTAATCGTATTCCGCGTAATTAGGTAATCGTATTCCGCGCAATTAGGTAATCGTATTCCGCGTAATTATTAAGTCTCGGATCCCACTCTTGGTGGGGGGGATGTTAAGTTCGCCATACCATATAAGAATTACTTGCCGTATTTTTCTTTACTTTTCTGAATTTTCTTATCTCATTGTCAATTTTCTCAACTTGTTAAAAATTTAAAGTCATACATATGAACTAGCAATTGCTTCTGGCTAGAAATATGTTTCGCTAGGATGACAGTTGTTGTTACGGTGCCACTAGGAAAGGGTGGAAGAGAACAAGAGGTTGCACAGATCGAGTGGCCGGAAAGAGGAACAAAACTTTACGATCGCAGACGGCTCCTGTGTAGGATTTATATGATATGTTTACCACGCGTTAACAGCGGCAGCGTGCGAGCCACGACAGTTACATTTGCGTTAAATTACTATCTGAAAGTAACATATTATATAAATACAAAATATTCAGCATTAAATTCACCATATCTTTATTCGATGAAGATATGGTCATATTATGGTGGGTTTATTTCCTTGAGAACTCTTGATCATCTTGAGATTCAATCAAGTTCATTATATTTAACTCATTATAATTTATTTATTCATTTGTTTATTATTTAACTTTAACCATTTGTACAAGTTAATGATAAATTTTTTACTAAAGATGTAGAATATTTTAACCTCTCTTAAAGTTATCTACACTCTCCCTCCTCTCTCACTCAGTTGTGCCCTCGGACCCTCCTTCCCTCACGGGCGTCGCTGGAATGTATGCCCTCAACTCCCACGCTCTTAATTTATCTACACTCCCCCTCCTCTCCCTCAGTTGTGCCCTCGGACCCTCCTTCCCTCACGGGCGTCGCTGGAATGTATGCCCTCAACTCCCAGGCCCTCGCCACCTGCACGGCGCCCCCCGCTCTGCCCAAACCTGAACTTGAGTTCCGCGTCAACGATGAGAAGGTGAAATTAAATATTATCATTTGTATATTTCTTAAGAATATTCATAGTTTTATTATTGGTATATTATATTTATAGTATGATACTTTATACGGATTTTTTTACACTTTTGCTTGAGTTCCGCGTCAACGACGAAAAGGAGCTATAATATTTTATAATTATTACGAGTATTTCACTTCAGGCTATTTCAGTATTATTGTAGGCATCATAAAATGTTTAAAATGTTCAATTGTGGCAAAAAATTAAGGTCAAATGTAATTATTTTGCCTTCGAGTTTTTCTCTTATTTTTCGTTGTGTATTTGTGCATTTTACTTATTCTTCCAATTTAGCAGTTGTAGCATGTATCATTTTTAAAGTTATTTCGTTGCATTTTTTCTATTAGGTGCCAGCTACGTCAGACAGATCATTTCCCGAAACAAAGTTATCTGTTTTGTTTATGTCTAAATTGAAAGGAGGCAATATTAATTAAATATCTGCTTAAGTCATTGATAACCTACATTTAGAATGCATTCCGGTAAACTTTTATTTGCTTTACAAACCTCTTATCACACGGTATAAAAAAAACGAAATTCCTAAGCGCAGCCATGTAATTGATGAAATTGCCTTTAAAACTTGTAATTCAATGCAAGGTTTCCATTCTAGCAACCTCTCACAACGCCGTACATATCGACGTTGTTTCAACGTTGAAATCTCGTTGACATCTGACGGTAAAATTGCGATTATATATATATATATGGGGATATAAAGTCAAAATTTAACGCTATTTCAATGTTGAAACAACGTCGAAATGCACGACGCTGAAAAAATGACACGCTTATCCAATTTTCATTCTAAACTAATACTAAACGTTATTTCAGCGTCATGAGTTATGTTGTTTTAACGTTGATTCGACCTGACATTGCCTGCTGGGTCCTTTTATCCAGAACATGAAATACAGCAATTATGAAAAAATTTCGAAAAATATTTCATAATTCATCAATTAATCCCACTCAGGTGCACCCATCTCTCCTCCTCGAGCCGCTCGTGCAGCTGAACAACGCTACGAAGCTCTACTCGGTGTCACAAACTCTACGGTTACGCACAACTCTTTCCGTTGCACGCAGAGGCTACGTCATAGTTCGATGTTCGGCTTCGGTTCGTGATCTCTATTGGAAAAATTCCGAAGTGAAACTCAACGTTGATGTTCCCGAACAATTCAGACAGAGACCCGAGTTCCACTTATTCGGTGAGATTGACTGGAATTTGAAAAGTTGTACTGTTTTAATTTAACGAGTAGGATGACCGAGTGACATGGCTGCTATATTGTACGTCAATTTTTCTGACACCTTAATTTTCTATTTAAATGTTATATAACTTTTTTCAGAGGCTTAGATGGCTTTGTATGTCACTGTGTGTTTTGTGTCATTGTGTGTTTTATAACGTATGTGCAATTCATTGTATATTCTTAGAATAATTCAGGTTGACGTGAACATAAGAGAATTACATTGAGTCTTTGTTCACAAAGGTTTTTCATTTAATGTGAAAAGGAAACACTAATAAATAAAATATATGATGCAAAATTTATAAATTAAACTATTTCTTATCATCGGACTCGTTTTCTCATTTCCAGGTGACGCCGCAATGCCGACATCGTCTCCAGTTTTCTTAATTTTCCTGATGACGTCATCGTTTGCTCTACGTTTCTAGTCCCGCTACAACCCAAGCTTTTTGTACATAATCTTGACGCAAACTGAATATGTTCTTGATATGTTCATACTCCTGACGCATGATATGTCCATGTCAGTGATACATGTCATATACTTGTCCTTGAGATGTGACATGTACTTGGACATGTCCAATAATAATATTATTGGACATCGAATTAAAACATTAAATGTAAAATTCATGTCCCTTAATTTCATTTTTAAATTATCAATAACAAGCCAAATCAAGGACTATTCGTGCATCACGCACCGATTACTTTTTTAGATAAATTATATCTTCAATTATTTCATTTCAGGGTTAAAATATCTTCGAATATTCACTTAATTGAACCCCTTATCCTGAGGATAATAATTTTAACCAAGTTTGATAAAATATCGGTGGCCATTGTTTACATAGTTCGGTCTTTGACGACACATGGTTTAGAATGAGGAATAATAATTTATTTTACCGATGCAAATCTCTTTTCTATTTAAAATTAATATGGGTAATCACTGGCCACTCAATTGCCTAATTCATCGGATTTATGTATCCGGGTTTAGTGAAAATATGTTGAGTTTGGTCGCGAATATATTCATGCATACAGTACGGCTATTTCGCCTTTTTAAATAATAGCAACATTTTCAATGTACATCATGCCGATGCTTCATGAAGTATTTTCTAAATATGTTATTATATTAGGATTTTGTAAATGGGGACCGCTAACATGATTACTTACTGGAATGACTGAATTCAATGGAAAAACTAATTTTATGTTTTAATGTGACAGGCGTAATTTCTAGCTTTGGTGTTGAGGCTGACCTTGTAATTAAGATGCCGGAAATAGACCTGCGTCAAATTTTTTTGTAATAATTAAACGTAATTATGTTGTTTTATCATTAATTAAATCTTTTGGGTAATTAAAGTATGTGACGGAATACGAAAAAGTTGGCAGTAAGTCTTTCACATTATTAATATACTGTACGACGGATGCAATCATTATCTAAATTTATTGTAGAAACGAATTTTATGACCAGCTCTTTTGGGTCAAAATATTAAAATTTTGCGTTAAACGAATGCGTGGATTTGAGTTACATCATGCGGATCATTACGCGTTCCTTCATGCAGATCATTACGCGTTTCATCTTGCAGATCATTTAGCTTTACGTCATGCTGATCTTTATGCGCATCAACATGCAGACAATGCTTGGATACTCATGCTCGCTACGCGAAAACCCTACGTTTTTTATCATGCGCAAAGTCATAAATTTAATGGTTCATTAGGTTGCAAATTGCATCACGCGTATATCAAAATAATTCTGATTGAATATTTTTTTGTAGATATTAATAAAAAAATAAATGATGGTCATTCAAAGCGAAACTTCCGCTTCGGTTGGCATTCCAGAATGGCTATTATCTACCGTATTAACCGCTTATTGTTCACAAGCAATATTTTTCTTCTTTTATAGAACGGCGAAAAAATTCATCTAAAAGCTCTAAGACAAATAAACGGTTCTCTGAAAATAAAGGTAGAAGGTTATGTTATGTGAATTTAATAAGTTCTTAGTACAATAAAGGATTATGCTTCGTGTTTAATATTTGCTCATGTACGTAATAATTTAGGTCTAAAAAATCATACTTAAAACGCTTAATTGCACCGAAATAGCCGCTTCTCGTGAAGAAGTTCAATATTTGCAACTCATTTAAACTTGACCTGAAACTTATTGTACATATAATGTTGGCTGTTCGCTATTTAACAATACATGGAATGTTGAATAGATTTACTCAGGAATACATTGATAATAATGTAGCTAATATGTGTGTACATATTTTTGAATATATTACTTTCCGAGCCCCAGAACCCGGCAAGGTCCCAAATTTGCTTGATTTTGAAGATCGTATTTAGTTGCAAAACACTGAAACTCTATTGGCTGCAGTCACATACAAGTTTAGAAACATTTCCTGTTTAAGAGGAAAAATATACTGTGTTGTTCAAAAGAAATTTTAAAATAAAACTTCAAAATATCGGCCTATAGAAAATGACACCTTCATAGCCCTGAAATTGTAAATGAATTGTTTAGTATCATAATTATATTAATCTAATTGAACAGCTGATATTACATTTTAAGTGAAATTATGTAATCAAGCATGAATTTTTAAGAAAAATAAAAAATTTGAAATAAATATTCACTAAAACTCATGTCAAATACAAATTTTTCAATAAATAACAATGATTTACTATCTAAATTTCAAATTCCGCTAATTTACCTCACCAAATTGAATATGGAGAATTTCACGCACAATACAAAAGCATTGATGAATGCCAGAGAATTTTGATCTCATCAAAATAAATTCAATTTACAGGAAAAACTTGTTTCTAATTTTTTTTGGCATCCAAAAAGAAGAAACAGTCTTCGTTAAACTGTCACTAAACTACAGTCAACTTAAATTAATACTGGAACTAGATATTGTAAAAGTTCAGTCGCTCTATCACAGTGATAAGCGATCTTTAGAGGAGTTACTCAAGAAACCTCCAAAATTATTTTGTGATTGAAACTGCAATATTTTGCTTGGGTTTGGCTGCGAAAACAAATCTTAAGTCAATGTAAATATGTATAATATTTTTTGTGGCTAAATAATAGTTTTATGCACAGAAATTTGTTCAGATAGTTTCATGTGCCCAATAAATTAGTTAATGGTAAACTATATCATCATTCATGAAAACTTCTCTGAAAATATTTCCGTCCAAAATTCCACTTGTCTTGCAATTATTTAAACACTTTTTCATCTTCAAATGCCAAACATCAAATGGAATAATCGAGCATCTCGAAAGTCGTTGACCGGAATCACGGGGGTGGATGTGCTAGCTTCTGATATTTATGTTCGTCCTCAATTGTCATGATACTTAATTGTCTTGATATGTAATTGTCATGATAGTTAATTACCGTGATACTTAATTGTCACCATACTTAATTGTCATGATACGTAATTGTCGTGCTTCTTAATCGTCATCATATTTGATCGTCAATTACGACGCAAAATTTTCGTCAATTGCTGAAGTTCGCTCGTAATGTTCAGCTTTTATAATGCCTTCGGAAATGGCTTCCTAGTTCCGACTGAAATAAAAAAAACGGTTCAGTTTTCCTTCATTCATGCAGAGATCTTGGCTTTTCAAATTTCTCATAAAAGTCATTCAGTCGCATTTCAAGTTATTTGGAAAAAAATTAAAATTGAAGTAACGTTAGAATTTCAATGCAATAAAAACAAAAGAAACACAGGAACTTTTCTAAAAAAATGGTTAAAACGAGTGAGAATAATAACTATAAATTTTACATGTAAAAAAACGCATACCAGCGTTTGATATCTCTTGAGTTTGTTTAGCATGTAGGTGAGCAACATTAATATCCATCTTTATTTTTGTGATAAAAGAAACGTAGGGCAACGTGGGGCAGCGCGCCCCCCACTTTTTTTAAACTAAATTTTTGATGAAGTTTTAATTGATACGAGGTGGTTCTTTGTTTTGTTTAAAGGTGCAACTAATGAGGAATGTATGATGTGAATTAGACGCCTATAGAGTTATTCAATTTTTTATGAAACACTATTTGTAAAAAGTGTCAAAATGGGCCCATTGCCCCACCCCTGGGGCAATGGGCCCATGGGATTGGGGCAAGGCGCCCACCCTTGGTCCCTTTACCACAATTGCATATTTTTCGTTTAAAAATGAAAAAAAACAACACTTTACAGTTAAAAATAAGAAAAATGTAATAAAAAATGACATTCATTTATTAACAACTCAAAAATCATATCCATAAGGACCATAACTTGAAAAAAATATACTCTTGGCTTAAAAAATCTATCACTGACGTGAAGAAAAATATTTCATTGACATAACATTACAGTATATATCCTTGACTTGAAAAAGATATCGTTGCGATAAAAAATTCGTCCTTGACATGAAAAAATGTATCCTTGACTAGAAAAAATATATTTAGTTGATCAGAAAAAAACTTCGTTCCAGTTTCGTCCATAATCCAGATATTATGTGCAGAGAATTCGTACCTAATCGTGATTTCAGCCAACACCATAAAAACTTCATCAACTTTTGGCTCATTGGTGTTGACTGAAATCAACTTTTGGCAAGGCAAGAGTCAATAACTCGAAAAGTGGTCATAAATACGCATAACTAGAAACTAAACCTGCTGCCTTGAGGCGGCAAATAAAAAAATCATGCAATATGAAGTGTAATTTGTAATTCAAAAAGCTAGTCATAGTTTGAAAAGGTCATTGAGACAAATCTAATGATGTATAATACAAGACTTCACCATGGGCGCTTTGCCCCGTGACACGCGTGGGCCCGTTGCCCCCACTAGGTATCATTTCAATTTATATCGTGTCAACATTTTATTTTAAAAGCTAATAGTCTAAACTTGGCCTCAAAATTATCCCTATAAATATTACTTTGAAAAAATAATTCAAAGTAATTTCATCTATAGTAATGGAAAAAAACTTTATTTAGCGGCAAAAAAATTTTTATCTGGACTAAAACAGTTATTCGCAAATAACTTAATAACGCAAACACTTAGCAAAACGTAAATCCGTACACTTCATCACAGTGAAACTGTCGACCGGCGGTAGAGAACACGGACCAATATCTGCCATACTTAGTGAGAAACCCGCTATGGGCCCGTGACCCGCAGTGGGCTCGCTGCCCCATGTTACCCTATATAGCTAAACGAATGGACTTATTTTCTATTTTCGACAATTATAAGCCAGGAGCGAATTCAAGTGTTTTCTGCTGGAAGTTCTGATCTATATAACTGCATGAATATTAGTGTTAACTCTATTTTTTATTTGTTACACCAGATCATTATCAACACTAGCCGGTAGCTATGGTTTTAACTTGAAGATGCGATCACCGATCTCGAATTCGAGCATTTAGAAAAATTGCGCCTCATGCTTAAAACTTCTAATTAACTTTCATTTCGCATTTAAAAAGAAGCAGGAGATAAATTTTAATATTACTGTAATTCATTTAATTTACTGTATAATATTGACCAGTTTTGAAACCTGCTATTTTTTCTCTATTTGCTTGTGTAATTTCGAATAACATCAAATGTTCTGAACCATTTTTTGCTCTACAATTTTTGATAAATCATTTTCTTCGAATTACCCCTTCATAACAAATCTAAG